TGATCCACACAGTCAAACGCCTTTGCACTGTCAATGAAACAAGCACTGCATGAAATAAAAAAGCTCTGTTCCTTCATAATTCTCATTTTTAAAAAAATCCAAGTTCATTAAAATATGAAGGTGTCTGTATGTTAATAAAGTAATCCTATCAGTATGGTGCTCACTTACCCTTTATTGCTAGAAACTAGAAAGTTAACACTCTCCCTTTTAAAAAAATAGGAGAAAAAAGCTGGAGAGAAAGGAGATATATTTTACTAAAGGAAAATTATTTTACTTGGAGCACAAAGAAAAAACCTGCAGATTTTCAATTAAATCACATTCTATATCATCTATTTTTCTCCTCCACTAGTCTTTTTTAAAATGAAAACATCCCTTACAACATCTTATGTTTAAACTGCTCTAATTCATCCTGGAAAGGGTTAAACTGGGCGGCTCACTGGAGGCAAGGATTCTGAGGCTCTTTCTAACATACTTTGGACATATTGTTAAGGAGGGACTGGTCCTTGGAGAGGGACATCATGTTTGGTAGGATGGAGGGACAGCACAGGAGGGGAAGGCCCTCTATGAGATGGATTGATTCAGTGACTGGGGTAATTGGGATGGGTATGTCGGAGACAGTGCGACTGGCACAGGACAGAGCAGAGTTTAGGGCTGTTGTACACTGGGTTGCTATGAGTTGCAAGCGACTCGATGGCACATAACAATAACAATCATACCAACATCTGTTGTTGTTGTTATGTGCCATCAAGTTGTCTACAACTCAAAACAATCCTATGTACAAAGCTCTGAGCCCTGCCCTATCTTGAGCCAGTCTCACTGACTCCAACACATCTACTTCCATTACTCCAGTTACTGTACCAATCCATCTCAACAGGATCTTCCTTCATCTACAGACCAAAAACTAAGGCAGAGAAGGGTAATAAAAGAAGTTTAGGTTATGAAGAAGACCTACGTATCAATTAAGATCACCTAGCTGGCTGTGTGAGTTTGTGCAAGTAATTTAATTTCTCCAAGATTAATTCTCTCATTTATAGAAGAGCTGTGGTGGTGGTGTTGACTGGGGCCATCAAGTCAAGTTCATCTCACAATGACCCTACGAACAACAGGTTGGAATCCTGTGCTATCCTGTGCCTTTTCATTATCTCCACCATATTTGAGCTCACTGCTTCCAGTCATTGGGTCAATCCACCGGTTGAGGGTCTTCTCTTTCACTGACCCTACACCTTTCTAAGAAAGACTTCCCCTTGCAATACAGGCTATGGTGATAGTTTAAAGCAGTCTAATACAACATTTAATGCAAAATACTACTAAAATTTCACTTCATCTTTCTTTCCTCTGTAAACCAGTTTTCACCTGAGAAGCAGTATTTTGGAACATTTGGCTTGTTATCCAGGTACGGCAGTCTTTTTAACTGCTAAGGTATATATAAAGGTATGGCACACCAAATATCAGTATTGACAAGGGGCTTACGAGAAGGAAAGTGAATGTAGGTGATATGTTACTGGCTTCGTTGTCATGCTTTAAAACTTCCCCAACCCAATTTGCTCGCCCCAGTTTAGGTTTCTATGGTCAAGAATCACCTGTCAGTCGGTCATAAACTCTTTCCAAATAGCAAGCAAAGTACAGGAGAAAGGGTGGAGAAACAAATGAGGGACAAAGTACATTCTTGGCAATTTTTCTCCTCGGGGATCCCTTCCTCTCCACTTCTATTTTACTTCTACAGCAAATACGTTTACTGGAAACAGTAACCTCCATAAATGTTAATGATGTCCAATATAAGAATTTAACTTAATCTGTCAAATTATAAATGACAAGATTCTCTAAAGGAGAAAAATGTCTTATTTGCTTCAGTGTTTTCTTTGAACATGTCCATTTCATCTGGGAAAGAAACCTTTAGGATTTTATCATCAAACCACTTAAGGACATAATCAAAGGGTTTGAATATCAAACAAAGCCACCTATCCATAGCACATTCTGTTCACAAAGCGCCCCAGAAACTTGATATAAACAAAATCCTTCTGTTTATTTCCAGGCAATAATACTGTGCTTTTCTGTATGCAACAGTATGCCTTACTTACCCAAGGCAATTATGTTTTCTTCCTCTACTCAAACAGAGCATCTGTTGCTAACACACTTAAGTCCAAGCAAGTTATTTCCACAGACAAAAAAAGCAGCTGGTCAAGCTAATCTATTTGCTGACCAGTCACCATTAAGCTTCTGTAAGAAAGTCCTGTTAACCTCTATTGTCAGGCTACATGAGTCAGAACTTTCAGTTCTCTTTCAATTAGGACTTAACAACTCTTCTTTGGCACCCTCATTTAAAATCATTTACTAGAGATATTAAAAAACATTAAACATACTTTAAAAGTTAAAAGAAAAATATAAAATGGCTAGACTGCATCGAAAACATGGTTATTATTCAAAAAAGGCAGTGATTTTGAAGTTGAGATTACAAAACTATTAACTGTAACCAATACTTAAATCTTGTTGACTGTTATAAAAATTATTATGGTTTTAGGGAGCATTGATGACGTAATGGCAGGAAGCTGCTCTGCAATCCCATAGGGGCATGGTTCAAGTCCACCAGCCACCCCATGGGAGAAAGATGGGCAGTCTTCTCTTGTGTGATTAAATGCCTCTAAAAACCCACTTGGAGGGTCCACTATATGTCAGTTCCAACATGAAGGTACACAACTACAACAAAAAGGCCAATAAATTAAACAGAAAAAGAATATTGTAGTTTTAACTCAATGCTCACAATAAACATTTGAGAGTACATATAGCTCTTCTCTATAAATGAAGAAGTAGAAAGACAGAACAAATTACTCAAGCTCATACAGTTAACAAATAGACTGGAGACCTGGTCTCAGAATTATCCTCTTAATAATCAAATGCCCAAATCCTAATTACTTACACAGAGGTATATATTCAGATCATCCTCAGTCCTGGCTACTATCGTCCTTGTAGCATTCTGCAAAAGGAATTTGTTTCAAAAAGCCATGGCAGGACTTTTATTTTAGAAGGAAAAAAGATCCAGTTTAATTCATTACAATTTGGGGCATGTGATTGATTCTTCAGTAATTCATGTGAGAAAAGAAAGCTGACATTCAGAGCAGTGAATGAATCAGTTATGAATATTAATACCAGATAGCCTCACTAAACTATGAAAAAAAGGAAGAGTTTGGAGGGTTTTTTCCCCACTAGAAAGATTTTAACTACTTTTTCTATATTGATAAATTAATCCTCACAGTTTTCAAAATAAGATAAAACAGCACTATGAAGAACAACTAAATTTCCGCTATCCTTGGTAAGAAAACAAATGGCACAGGATAGGCACTCAAATATACCAGATAGGATGAAACCAATTAGATTTCAAATCTTAGCCTAACACTAGTGACATGACCTTGCAGGAGTTATAAACTCCATCTCTTTAATTCCTAAGCAGAATGAATATCCAAAAAAAATGCAATCTAGATGTAAACACTTTTTCTGCACTCTTTTCTACTACACAGTCCTCTCCATAAACATTCCATAAGATTTCATAATGAATTCTTTTATTTCATTTTCACAATAATCCTGTGAAAATTCTTAATTCCACTGCAAGAAAGGCGAAAGAGATTAACCACAGTTAAGTGATTAATCACAACCCAAGATCAGAGAGGTAGTCAATCTATTCCTGGAACCCAAGACTCAGGACTCCCAAGTTTCTGTTTTTCCATTTTATCCATGCAGATGTCATTTAAGTTTTAAATAACAAGTTAAAGATATGAAATATACATACTTCTCACTTAACTATCTCTCTATCCAACATCTCCCATTTACAACAGAAGTGAAAAATGTACCACCCAGCTATTTTGCATCCTAACCGAGGTGTGAGGCAAAAGTAACGCTGGTTAAGGTTAGATGTCAAGTTGGTGGGTTCATCCTTTTCAGTATCTGGCATTTATACAGCGATAAAGGCATCCTTCATTTTCCCATACCTCAAATTTTGTTTTATGATCTGGTCTTTGGAACCTACCAATGCAGACAAGTGAAGAGTGGGTTTAATTTACAAATTTAGACAGATAATGTTTCAAATGTGCACCTATTCAAAACACAGAAATGTAACTTTTTAACTGTTCAATGGCCAAGAAAGTAAAAATGCAGTTTACAGCCAAAAGAACTTCAAGATGCACACATAAAATGAAATAAAATACACTGGTTCTAATATCCTTAACACATTACTCTAATGACCCTGGTGCTCCTTAGAAAGGTAAATTCAGACAAAATTACTAGAAAATTTTCCAGTAAATCTTCCAAGTCCTGTCTGTGTTACAGAATGGCTTCTTGGGTATGCCCCTTTCCTTTCATGTTTTTTAAAGACAGTAATGTTAGCACGTGCTTTTCCTCACATCCAGTCAGTTAGTTCAGTTAGGTAATAATCTAACAAAGAGAGCAAGCAGGGAAGCTGATTACTACAAAAGGAATATTCCTAACTCACTTTTAACTGTAATGAAGGCAATAGTTAATATTCGCACAGCAGGTACTTTTTCATTCTAAAGGTAAATTCTGTATGTCCTTTCCTTGTTTGGGAAGCATTAGACATTTCCTAGCAGCCACTAGGTAACTAGCAACACAAGAGAGTGGGCCGCTGTCCTGACGACCATGCATCTTTTCCTTCCTTCAACAAACACCAAGCCCTGCTTATGACTGAGTTGGGAGAAGAGGGAGTGGGGATGGGAATTGCATAAAGGAGATTCGGCCCATAATCTAAAGAGCAAGCATTGTGCCAAGTGAGGCGACTAGCTTCAGTGCCTGGGGGAGACCCCGAACAAGGCTGGGCCACAGTCTCATCTGCTGGGCAGGAGAATAAATACACTCCAGCACGCTGCTTCCCAGGCTCCCGAATCAAAGGGTGGATAAAGTCCTAGGAAAAGTGATGCGTTAAGAAATCAGGAGCCAGGATCTGGGGGAAGAGCAGGACAGAGGCCACCCCGGGTCATCGGGCGCGGTCCCCGAGCTCGTGCGGGCGCCCCTTCGCCCCCCAGCTCGAGCGGCGGGGGCCCGGCCCTCCGACGCTCCGACCTGTCCCGCCCGCCAGGCCTGCGCCCCACCCGGCGGTGCACGCGCCCACCGCCCACCGGCGCCGCCCAAACGGTGCCCCCGGCGCCGCGCCCCCTTCCCAGCTTACTTTCTGGGAGTCCATGGCTCGAGGTGCAGCCCCGCGGGGCCGAAAGCGCGCCCGAAAACCGTGTACGGAGGAGGAGGAGGGGCAGGGGAACACCCAAGACCGCTACGTGCAGACGCGGC